AATCGAAACCGAATGCCATTCAAACAGCACAAAAAATACTTTAACAATCTACTATTACCAAACGGATACCCCGAATATTACATCGAAAATGTTTTCCCCCAGTGGCACAGCGGTATGTCTGTGGAATTAGAATGCTAGAAACCGGGTTTCGAAACCCGTGGTGGGCAGAGCACAGAGAGCCCATTGTGTAGATTTGTGCATAAATTCAAACAAACAAACACAAAAAATGTTTAACATTATAATAGCAACAGGCCCGAAACCAAAACAAACAACAACAAAAATACATGAAAACACCCACAATGAACATTTCTTCCATAAACAACACAATCACAACCAAGATTCGTAAAACCATTAAATAATCCCAACATAACGCAAAACAAAATCTGATAAAACACTGAAAGAACTATCAGTTTACTCTTGATACTCACAAAAAAAATATGCCAAAAAAACAATGCCACGCTAGAGAAAACGGAGCAGGACAAATGTGCCACATCAAATACGTTACACATGCGCATCTCAGAAGACATCAGTGCATTATATAAGTATGAACAACACAAACCCACCCCAGCAGAACACTTCCTATACAAACACGGAACGCTAAACACAAAAACATCAAAACCCATTTAAAGTTTCTATCTTATAAAAAAACAAAGATTTTAAAGAAAATATATGGAAGCTATACTGATTAACGAAAAAAATCCAAAAATGAACAGAGACAATGGGTGGTACATGTAACTAAACCACCATTCAAATACATCATACCAATACACTTGACACTATTACTTTTAGTTTAACACTTGCGTACTCTGGAGTATCACACAGTTTTACAATTTGATTTTAACATTGCTAGTAAACTTTGTATCCTTTCAACTTTAAGTTTTTGTTTTCCATTTTCAGTCTATGCGTATTTTAGCTAATCATAACACATTTTGTGGTTCTCTTTATTTTCGTATTTACCCCCCCCCCCCAGTGGCACAGCGGTATGTCTGCGGACTTACAACGCTAGAATCCGGGTTTCGATACCCGTGGTGGGCAGAGCACAGATAGCCCGTTGTGTAGCTTTGTGCTTAATTACAAAGACACAAATTTTCGTATTTCATATAAGTAATATATGTCATATGTTAGTATAGCAAAGACGTATCCCTGTTTTCTGGATTGTTTTCCCATCATTTGATTTTTCAAGCAAGAGTAAATGGCCTTTTGCAACTGTTACCACTTTTCTCTTCCCTAATTTCGATGCAAACTCATTGTCACTCCACACATCATTGAGAACAGCAACTAGTTGTTATTTATTCTCACCGTTCAATAGAAAGTTCCTCCAGTTTACAGGCTTTTGGGTCATTTGGCTCCTAATGGTCAATTTTTCACTGCAGCTATGTCTTTCTCGTTCCATCTTTTGATCAATCTTTCTTTATACATGTCATTACTGAAGATGAGATCCGACTTCTCGGGCAGACTCTCAAACATCCTATGAGAGATCTCCTTGAAGTTATCAGGAATGTCTTGCAATATGTGGACACTTAGTGTTAATGCTTTTGCAGGAATTTGAGCATCATCAACATCCTTCATTAAATATTGGAATCCTTTCAATTTATCGGTTTTCGCCAAGTAACCATCAGCAGTGCCAATGCTGTAAGGAACAGGACTTATTGGATACTTTATCAGTTCTTCGATATCGAGAGTTTTATTTAGCTGTGGCTTAACCAGCAACTGTATGGGCACAGTGCTGTGTTGCTTGTAACTCACAACTCTGTTCGGTGTAGTCTTCAGTTTCACAAACTTGTTCATGCATTCGAACGTCTTCAATTTCAATTTCTTCACTGGTTCAAAGAAGTGGTCTTTAGTATCGAGTCTTCCAGTGATGAATTTTTCTTTGGCCTGTTTTCATAACTCTTCAACTGACATCATGTATTTTTCAATATGAGTTGGAGTAGAGACACCTGAAGAAATACAGTAGAGCTTATCATGATCTGTGATGTTGAATGGGTTTAGAAAGCTGTCAATTGCGTCCATGGTTCTAGTGACCAGTCATTCGCTCTTGCTAATTTCTGCTGGTCTCAGCTCTTTGTGTTTTCTCCAACCCTGAGAATCAGACAGCAAATCAGCTTTAACGAATGTAGCGTCTATGAATTGTGCCCTTTCATATGTTTTTTTCATCCATCTTTGATAAGGATTGAAGTTTGTAAGGATTGCAGTCATACCAGCACCACATCTCCCTGGTCCACCATGGAATTTTGCATGCTTCCTGAATGTTTCTTCCATGGTTTTGTAGACTGCACATTTGTTCCCGTGAACCAACGATCTTGCCACTGATTGCTCTTCTTCAATGTTGGTCAGGAATACTGAAAAAAAGGTTAGGTACCGTGAATAATTATGTCCATCGAAACTAAAGAACAAGTCAGCCATCTTGTAGATGCTATGTATATACAGCGGATAGTTGTTAGTCTTTACTGCTTGCAGTAGTTCCAGAACCAGCCATACATGGTTCATATACGAAAACTACAATTGTGCTGTTTTTCCAAGTTTACATTTGGCAACATCAGACTTGAACTTCAAATACTTGTGGATCTGTGAACTAGTGACCTTATGGTTCACTACGGTAGTTAATGATTGTTTTGTGGGACAATCAAATAGACTCTCAAAGAGGTGTTGTGATTCATCTGACAGGTTCGACATCAGCTGATGCTCCTGCTTTGTTGACAGGAAAATCTGTAGTAGTAGCCATTCAAGTGCTTCAAGCAGTGTACTTGTGACAAGCCAAACCTTGATGTGGTTTTTACAGCTCTTTGAACTTGTAGGTTGTAATGGCGTACTTCTGTCCCTCTTCTTTTGGTGCTTCTTTAGAGTATCTGAGACATTCCTGTACAGCCTTGTACCCAGTAATTGGGTAGTAATCGATTGTTGTGATTTTTTGATGTTTTCTCTCTAGTTGAACCCAACCCTTCATTGGAACTCCTGACCTGTCTTTGCACTGTGCGTATGTGCCAGGACCCACAGGAGGTTTTGATAGGTTACATCTTTGTGTGATTTTTCTTCATTCACACATGCCCATCTTCGCACCTTGTAGGATAGGCTCTGCCTCTGTGTGATGTAACATTCAGGAAGAGTTTGTGAGCTGTCGAGTTTCAGTGATCTGTCTTTGGTTTGTTGGATGGAGGTTGCTGGAGGAACAATGATTTTGCGTTTCTCAGTATCATGTTTATCTTCTTGCTCAATAAAAGGTTCTATTTCTTGCAGCATGATGCCATAGCTTATATCAATAGAACCTGATGCTGTAAAGTGATCAAAGTGATCTGATTCTTCTAGGTGTGTCACATAGATTTCTCTCATAAAGTGTCTAATTTGATAACAGCATTTCTGTAAATGATGGCACACAGTTTCAAAAGCCTCGCTGTGTGCTCGTTCGATATTAGCTTTTGATGAGGCAGCTTTGAGGTTGGTGCTTCACCATGATGATGGATCCTAGATTTATTTAACTCGACAGCACATCGAAGTCTTTTTTATCTTCAGCTATTTGAATGATTTTGCTCCACCTTTAAGCATAGCTGGTCTCTCCAATGTGAAGCGAGTGAAATGCTGTGAACTCCTTGCAATGTATGATGCATAGTTCTCTATTTGCATGTTTGTCTTCTAGAGAGTCCTCTACTGCTTCAATGCCCCTTTTGCGTCTCTTGGATGACCATTTCATGACGATAAGGTGACGATTTTATCATGAATTGTTTGTCAAAGGGAACTGATTATACGCACAGTAGCCTGAAATAAAAAAGACGTTAAGTATATGTTGCAGATGTGAAATTGGTAAAGTACATATATATATATATATATGGTTTGCTACAAGTATTTTTCATTTCAGACTTGCTCAATTTTTCAGCAAAGAAAGCGTAATATTTGTCTTTCTGAACTATGTCTTAAGTATTTCAACCAACTTACAAAGGATTTGGTACAAAGATACCTTCTTGCAGGTTCCAAGCAGTGATATAAACAGTTTTCGATTTTTCTGGTGTTAAAATTAGCCATTTTGGGATTGCATGTCGAAAACACTTTGCATTCACCAGCGAATATTAGATCATCCTGTAGCTAAAGAATTGTCCCATTTCATTAACATAAATAACTATTTACGAAACACGTTTTATTGTTTGAGATTATTTATAAGCCTACCAAACTAAATTACTTTATATAACAGATATATTAAGTATACAGGTCATTTGGTCGTTGTTAAGCACAAAGCTACACTATGAGCTATCTGTGCTTTTCTCACCACGAGTATCAAAACCCGATTTTTAGCGTTGTAAGCCTGCAGACTTACAGCTATGCCACTTGGGAGGGGAGACATTAAGTATACAGAAAAGTAAGTAAATTCTGCGTTGATCAACAAACTGGTAACGGTTTAACGTATATATATATATATACGTGTGTGTGTGTTGTTGTATCTTTCAAACCAGAGGTATACGATTGTCTATTTTTATATGTTCTTCTGTGGCGATGTAAGTAACAAAACTTAACTTGGAAGGAAGAAGCAAAAATCAATTCAGTGCTTTGAAGTGGGGAGGACACGTGATATTTATCATATTGCTAGATATGAATAATAAACTTACGTAATGAAACAAGTCAAGTCGAACTCTTTATACCATATAATAGTTAATATAACAATAAAAACTATAGTTACCTGGTGGGAGAACGGAAAGTTTGCGGTAAAGAAAGGAAAATTACGGTCTTATAACACTCACATTCGAGGTTCGATTCCAGGCGGGGGACATAACAGAAAGCTACTGTATCTTTGTTTTAACACATTTTAACCCTCTGTCCCTGATATTACGTGATAGTATATAAACTAAAGTGTCAGAATTTTTTACCCTCTTCATTTTAGTTAGTTCGACTCTGAAATCAAAAAAGGTGACTGCCTACATTTAAATGTTTTGCTCCTGAAACTGCCAGATCTTTTTATAGTGATGATCCACAAATAATCACTAATTCACATCTTTACACCTGTCCAATTCCAGGTACTGAACAAAATGTTCAGTCGCATAACTACTTATAGACCGAGTTTAATGAATGACGGTGTGGACGAAGGTGATGGTGGAACTAAACAGAAAAGGTTCAGGAAAAACAGAAGTGTTCGAAGCAGTGTATTCCGGAAACTCCCTCGAAAAGTAGTGGTAAGTTTCGGTGGGGAATTTATTAACCGAGAAAATATTTCTTAGTTTTGGTGTGAAAAATATCGATCTTAGAGAAGAAATTTATGTTTAGATATAAAACCATCTTGTCAGAATTAGAAACTAAAGTTTTATTATAGTGTGAAAAAAGGCATTTATATCATAACAGTTGTTGTTGTAACAAATGGGTTATATAAATGGTATTCCGACCACTACTGTGTTTGTTGTATCCTAATTAGTCTGATGAGCTCTGGATTGAGTGGAACACATCATCGGCAAATGGATATGACAAACGTAGTGTGGTTGGGATACTATTATTATACACTCTTCTAATTCTTGAAAATTCCGAAGGGACTATATATAAAATTCAGCGTTAAAATATACTAATATCTGATGACAATTAAATTAAGTTAAAGTTTTGTTCAGGTCGAAATATATTTATCTTAACATTATGCTTATGTTGAAATGTATCAATATTGGTAATTAAAGGTAAGTTTAAGTTTAATATGTATCGATCTTGGAAACCACGTTATGTTCAGGTCAAACTCAGTAAGAAAGTACGAGTTTTCAGAGCGTCAAGTACTCCCATATTTTCCTATTTGTTCCTATATATTTCACAGAAATACCCATTGTTTCTTATACTTTGTGTTTTTTTTCTTCTTAAAATACAAATATTCAAAGAAAAGTGACATACTTAATGTAAACATTTTACAAAATTTCGTTTACAAAATTATATCTTTTAAGACTTTTTAGATTTCTGCTTTTTCTTCAATATATTTGTATTTCTCTCAGGTGTGGCGCCCGTGTCCAACCCAGCCACTAATAGCCTCAGTTGTTGGATAAACTACCTGGATCCATTTAGATCAAGGAAACCATTGTTCTCACCTTTTAATGGACTGTTTTGTTTTTGGCAGAAAAACTAAAAACATGATTCTGATAATAAAATCATCAGCATGGGGAAATGTGCTATTAAGTACTATTGTGGTAATAAAAAGAAATATTCATCAGTTTTGGAGGAAGAAAAGTTCAGAATATATATGTTAGGCAAATGTTAAGTTAGAGCAACCTTTCTAGATGTTTTTCAAAGAAATGTTAAAAATGTGTTAAAATATCCAACAACTGAAGCTGTTTTAGAAAATTGTCATGGCTATCTAAAATTTCAATAATTATTTCAGGTAAGAGTTTGTTAATTATGCCAGGAGACGAAACCAAGTTTAATGAAAGGTGATTGCTTGAGGTTGATGGAAATGGACATGAATTGAACTTGTGAAAGAAAGTACCTTATATCAAGGAAAATGTATCAATTTGAAATTAAATGTGACAGGATCCCATCATACAATAAGTAAATCCCTTCTTTCACCAAATACACCCAAAACTCACATTTAAACGTCAACCAATCACTGAAATCTGAAAGTGCAAGTACAGAGTTTCCAGGTGAAAAAGCAGGACCTTCTACTCAGATATCTGGGACATTAATTGGAAAAGATAAATCCACAGTTCTGACTTACACTGTACAAATAGAGGATACCTTGTGTGCAGAAGTTATCTGGGTAGCAAAATGTGTATTGTCCAACAGTAAAATGTGATGGTATTGCTGAATCTTTCAAAGGGATGTTCAATGCCTAGTAGCGAAAAGTTTCAGTATGAGTAGAACAAAGTTATCTTACCCACTATCAGATGGTTTGAGTCAAGCTTTCACTTCTACTTTGACATATGATGTACGAAATTCAAATAACTATTTTTCGTTGCACTCAAATGAGACAACTCATACACAAGTAAATAAACAAATGGATCACTTGAAGAGGTACTGGTCCCCAACCCATGATGAAGTATGGTGCAATTATTACAAGTCATTGTTTTTCTCTCATGTAGATGGAAAGTCTATTGCCAAGAGCATGGTGGAAACATTACAAAATAATTGCATGTCATTGGAATCCCTAGTTGCATTGGGTAGCGATGGACCAAATGTTAGCAACACAATCTTTAGAGAAGTTTCCAAGCTATTCAAAGCTGCTCGTTCAGAATGGAATGGTCTTGTTGGTGTAGGTACATGTAATCTTCATACAATGAACAATGCCTTCAGCAAGGGCATTACAAAATATGGTCAGGAAACAGAATAATTAGTAATATATGTATTTGAACTATTCACGACCTCGTCTGTAAGAAGGAAGATTACAAAAACGTACAAATAGATCTTGAATTTCCAGAGGAAGTCTTTATAAAGCACACACATGATCGCTGGCTGAGCATTGAACCAGCCTTAAGGCATATCGTTGAACAGCGATCAGGGATAAGGGAATATGTTTCAAAATTAGAGAGGGACGCAAAGACAATGCCTAAGAGTATCAAATTCAAAGGGATAAGGGAAGCAATAAGACGAGCCGACATGAAATTCAAATCATTCTTTCTGTTGTCAATTATCTTTGTGTTTAAAGATTCTCAAAGAGTTGCAAGCTGATCAACCCATGATTCACCTGCTATACATTCATGATGTAAGAAAAACACGTAGATTCAAAAAGTATTGATAAAAAAAGATAAAACCCTATAACTCGAGTGCTTTCGAATGGGGGAACTTTCTTCTTCAGGGGTAAACTGAGAATGGTGGTGTAACTGAGTGAGTGCTATATAAAGGGAATTGAGTGACGTCATGAAGGTCACCTGGGCTTTTTTGTATATTTTTTAATGTACATTTGTTAAGGTTGTCTCATTTCCGGTGCATTACGGCCGGCGGAAACGAGAACGTTATATGAAAAAAGATGTTAGAAATGTTTTGTTTTACAAATGGTCAAGAAAAGTATACTTAAGTGTTGTTAAAGTGAAATAAAGGTGACACGTGGAGATTAACTGAAAAATAAATCTTAAATAGATCAATTTCTAAAGACAAGCATGGGAAATTATCACAAATAAATAGTAAGTATTAGAAAGATTAGGGGTAAACATTGAAAGTTCATACTACACGTAAAATATTAAATAAATAAGAATTATCTGTTTGACAGGGAACAAACCAATGATCAGAGATCACTGATTCCAGAATCTAGATATGATTCCACAAGGTTGAACAGTATTCAGATCAACAATCCAATAAGCTTCTTTTACCTCTCTATCAGCCATAGTTTTAAAGTCGGTTTCAATGCCGATGAGAGTAACATCGCTAATAGAATGACTGGGTTGGTTGAAGAGTTGAACAACAGGGAGATATTTTTTGGTGTTAATAGAAGACTTATGGTTGTTGAAACATTCCCTAAGAATCGTTTAGGTACATGTTACATACTGGTGATTACATTTTTTTACACTGTATAAGGCGAATGGTATTTTGTGTTGTGCAAGTAATTTCTTTAGAAATTTTAAAGTTTCTCTGGTTGTACTTGTTAGAAAAAGAGTCATTGATTTCATGAATTTGCAGGTTTGACAACGAGCTTTATTACATGGATGACAACCATTCTTTGCTGAGATGTAATTGAGTTTTATATGAACAAGGGTAACTTTTAGACTTCTAATTTTCCGGAAGGAAACAACAGGAACTTCAGGAAATATCTGTTTAAGGCGATCATTCAGTTGTAGTAGATAAAAATGTTTTTTAAGTATGCGCGAAACTGCTATACAGTCGAATAACAGTGTTGGTTTGCGTCATTCTGCGACAGTCCAAGAAATATTTGTTCATCGACGTAACAGTCATTGTTTAAGATGATAATGATATAACTACCCATTATCTAAGTTTAGTATATCAAGTATAAAAAAGGACTTATTTTTTAATACTACGTTCATTGTATTTTTTATTGTTAAATTTTAATTCTCATGAATACATCAAGTCTTGTTTAAGATGGTAAAGATAAAAGTGTTAATTTTATAACTGAATCAAAAGTTAGAGATGGTGAGTGGAGGAAGAGGTAATTTTTTTTTCAAAAATGCACTTGACGCCCTGGTTTATGCTTTGACTAATCTATCTCGCAATTTTTGAAATTTTCGTCTATTTTTCGTCGTATTCTGTATGCTTTATTTGTTGCTTTCTGTTTACGTATGTTATGTCTACTTAGAACACTATTGTTACATTACTGTTTTTGCACATTTTTACGCGATACGACCATGTAGGGGACGGGAGGTCGTGGCCCAAAAGTTAGTTGGGCTACAGGTCGAAGAGTTCGGAGTTCAATAAGTGATGTTTCTGAGCACGCTCCGCACTTTTAGATATGACCGCATTATAAAAATGACAGTTAATCCCACTATTCAGTTTAGAAAAGTTGGACAAAGCCCTTCGAGTGGTTGACTGACTTCTCTACGGTTATACCTGAATGTTAGAGATACTTCCATCCGGTTATACCTGAACGTTAGAGATACTTCCCTCCGGTTATACCTGAACGTTAGGGATCTCTGACTTGACCATTTGTCTCTCGTATGCATAAGGTGCTGTTCGGTAGAGAATCTTAATTCAGTTGGCCGTAAGTTTGTTAATTGCTAACTTGTTTCCCATGAACAGGGAAGTGATATATTGTCCTCTATTAGACCTAAATTATTTTATGCTTCCCCCTGTAGTTGTGCTTTTACCTATGAAAGTGGAACTTAAAATATTAAGTGAAATGTTGTGGTTTGATAAATTTAGGGACTCTAAGTTTGTGTAGTTTTATTACACTTTATTTATATGCTGTAGGTTGAAATGGCACCTGAAGAAGAAGGCTCAGACATTCTGCATACCAACTGCGAAAAACCTCTAGTTCCAGATGATATTTACAGAGAAGGACTCCGATGTTCTCTTATAAATTCTTCTAATCCTTATAGCCTGTGGCCTTCCAGGACTTCATATCGATCTAAGCTATCTTCTCTGTCTGGAGTACTGCAGCGAGAAGGTTTTCAAAGAAGAAAACTACTGTCTAAAGACGAACGGTCTCCTGCGTATTGATGTATAATAAATTAATTACCATAATCTGGCTTTTCATCTAACTTGACATAGTACTTCACCGACAACAAAGGTTTTGCTAAAAATAAAGTATAAATTACCAAATATTGTTTATATTTTCAAGCTGATGATTTATAAAGGCCTATTTAGTTGTTTAGTTCATCAGAACTTTGTATTCTGTTAGATGATTAACTGTAAAATCAATTTGAATAGAAAAAAAAACAGCTGAAACTAAGAATATTAAAATAGAAAGGCTATTAGGGGCCTTTCAAACAGTATGTAACGCTTGAAAGAAGGCTATTTTGAGCGTTACTGAATGTTACTGTATGGGGGGAGTATCCTTAAACGATACGTAAAGATAATAACCACTTAAAAATCGTATATTAGGCAACAACGAAGCACCTATTAAACTCAAGGCTGTGTTACTGATCGTTCTATGACAATGTTGTGTTTAACGTCAAGTTTTGCGTCACATTGTCGTCTCATTTTATTGCACTTAAGGCACACTTTAATTAATCCACAAAAATACATGAAATTATTCTCAGTAAGAAATAAAATACTAATAAAGTTGAATTCGCAGATTTTTGGTTTGTTTTTTTTAGCACAAAGATACACACTGAGCTACCTGTGCTCTGTTCACAGCGAGGAATCGAACTTCTTAATTTAGTGTTGCAAACTTACCACTGTACAACCGAGGAACACGCGCGCAAAATACGTTCACATTCCAGACATACCTTTGAACACATTACATTGTGTTGCATTTCGTGATCTAACATTACAAATACTTATTATATAGACGGATGGAGTTTGGCATAAGCCTTTTTTGGTGCCTTTGCAGGAAAGGACTTTTATGTGGTCAGGAGCCACTACCGTAACTAAAAGAACGTCTGCGTTTATCTTGTTCCTTACATGAATAGAAACGGCCAATCCATAGGGTAGAAAGTACAGAACTAAAGAGCTCTTTGAGTGGTACTAAAAGTCGCCTGAAGAGTTGGTAGTAATAACGCAAAGGACTTTTATAATTATTAACGATGTTATACTATTTCTACACACTAAATTAATATATGTTGAAAATACATAATTAAGAACAACAGTATCAAACAATTTATGCTGATACCAGTTTGTGTATTTTATTGATCTTATGTCTGACAATAATACCCGCCATACTGTATTATTGTAATCTTTATCACAAATGTAAAATGATACAAACTCGTACTGTGTTATGGAAAAGCATAGAAAAAGAAAACAGTCTATTTACATTTGGACATCTATAACTAATATTGTCATACGATATGTCTCTGAATCATAACATATATTTAAAACTATCATAAACAGTATATATCCAAGTGAAAATTATCACAAGTTCATTTCCTGAATATCTAACCAGATTCTTTATAATATATAGTGATAGTTTTTACTCTGTAAAACAGTATTAATAGCTTCTTTATAGTAACGCCATGGAATTTAGATTAACAGTTTCTTGTCATCCTCTCCCCCCATGCAATCGGTACAGCCGTATCAAGCATCATTATTTAAGCTAATTGCTTAACTTAATACCACGTGACGCTAAACGCTCTTTAATTAAGATAATTTAATAAAATTTAGTAAATTTGTGCTAAAAATTGGCAGTGAATAATAAATAATAACAATCATCCATATGATTCTTTTGCAAACTTGAGCTAAAAACCGCTAATCTAGTTTGCTTGGCTTAACCAATACTTATGTATGTGCACGTCCTTTCACCTTATAGTTTTGCTGCTCTAAATCAGCCGTCTTTAATCCGAATGCAAAAAAAATTAAAAATGGTTCACTTTTACTCTTAGATGAAGCTGTAGTAAAAATGTTAGAGCTGATAGCTCACGTTACTTATTGCCTAGACTTGCACAAGGATTTTCATCACATTTGAGCGGTTTTTGTTGAATAACTTTGCATATTTAGCTTATATTTACACCAAATGAGACTCCTAATTTAGGTTGTAAAGATCTATCAGTGTACCAAATTTGAAAAAAAAAATCCTTAAAAGTTAAGTATGTTTTTCTATCAAATATAGTTTCCGTACTTTTGGTGCGAAGAAAAAAATAGGAAGAAACTCAATCAAAATTTGAGATGTTATATCTGAGGTATTTCTAAATGGATTGCCTTGAAATTTGGTATGTTAAGTCCAGTAGAACACTGCCACTGAAAATATGTGTTAGTTTGAATTACCACAGTCCGAGCTGCAGATGGTAGAAAATCGCTAAACTATCACTCCTGTTAATAACACACAGTGTGTCCTGCAGATTGTTTTTGTTGTTGTTGTTTTTTGCCGCAAGACCCGCAGTAGTGTGTCTTGATTAACCTGCACTTTCACATTGAGAAGCCCGGCATGGCCAGGTGGTTAAGGCACTCCACTCGCAATCTGAGGGTCGCGGGTTCGAATCCCTGTCACACCAAACATGCTCGCCCTTTCAACCGTGGGGGCGTTATAATGTGACGGTCAATCCCACTATTCGTTGGTAAAAGAGTAGCCCAAGAGTTGGCGGTGGGTGGTGATGACTAGCTGCCTTCCCTCTAGTCTTACACTGCTAAATTAGGGACGGCTAGCGCAGATAGCCCTCATGTAGCTTTGTGCGAAATTCAAAAACAAACAAACAAACACATTGAGAATTAAATGAACTATGATTTTAGCTTGAATAAATAGTTAAAGATATTTTCAACTCTATAGTAAAACTATAACTATTACGCGTGTGTGCCCCTAGTGGTTCAGCAGCAAGTCTGTGGGCTTATAACGCTAAAAATTGGGTTTAGATAGCCGCAGTGGGCACATCACAGGTAGCTATTGTATTGTTTTATACTTAATAATAACAACAAAAACTTGTGTGTGGTTGAAGAGGGATGACAGCGTTATGTAACTGAGAAGGGTGATGATGGTAATGTATTACTGTGCTTATCTGTAAGTGGCAGGAGGTTATTCCCAACAGTAGCTAATACCCAAACTGCTGAGTGAAAACTTTTACCCAATGTGTTGTATATCAGTTAATTATTTTTATGCCTTTATTGGGTAACTTGCATTTTTATTAAAATATCAGTAAAAATATAGCAGAATTTTTATTTTCAGATGATTGTTTTCTTTGAATGACCTTATTTAAAAATATTCGGTGTTTTTTACATCAACAGGTTTATTTGTTATCAGAATTTGGAAGCTGTATAACCAGCTAAGTGAGAAAAGTGACCTCACATAATTATTTACTGGGCATATGACTTTGTTTTGAAAACATTTTTATGACTTATTTTTAAAATTGTTGATATCGGAGAATTGTTTTGTAGATTTAGAAATTAAAAGTCAAATAAATTTAGCTGTATGGTTTTACATTTTATTAAAGAAATATTTAATTTTGCTATTACAATTGTTTGTAGTATAACATTAATAATCTTAACAACAACAACAAAGAACGTTAACGTTTGAAAGATAAAACATTCATTGTATAATTAAATTTTTCATAAAAAGCTGCTGTTACGTCACATGGAAATAAAGATGAAGCAAGCAAAGTGGTTGATTATTTGCCCCCAGTGGCACAGCGGTTTGTCTGCGGACTTAGAACGCTAGAAACCGGATTTCGATACCCGTCGTGGGCAGAGCACAGATAGCCCATTGTGAAGCTTTAGGCTTAACTACAAACAAACTTGATTATGAACTTTGATCCATATTGTTTTCACTACGTATTTAAATTAATGGAGTTAGACAATATTTTTAGTAAATAGTCAGAATCATACAATACAATGTTCTCACTCTTCAGTGCTTTGTCAGTTTACTACGTCTATCTTTCTTGGTCCAACTTGTAAACTAAAGGTTCACCATGCATAGTTTTATATTGTTAATGTGCTTCTTTTTGCCATACAACTGCTGCAGCTCATAATGTATATGAATGAAATAAGGACCACTCTATCCAGAACTTCGTTGCTCAAGTACCAAAATAATATCCATACTCGAACTTTCATTCCTTCTCTGACTTGATATAATGTTTCTTCTGCTATACGACAACCTTACCCAGATGCTAACATACAAATGAATGTGTGTCAACTAATGCAACCTCATTCCCTCCACATATTCCTGTAGACACTATAGCTCGTCCGTTCTATGGACAGACCAAATATCACGTACACAGAGCTAAGCTAAACAGAAGCTTGTTTAAGCAAACAGTCAGTCAACTTCTGCTCTGTTGTATGATATTCCGACATGATACATGGCAGTACTTTTTTCAGTTAGCTAAACCGAAATTAATAAACTTTGAAAACTCCCTATTGATAGTCTGTACTACTTATTCTGCCAAAAAATTGAGACTTGTAAGATATCGCAAAATGCACATATTTAGTGCAAACGACACCTTGTGTTAATTGACAAATAACTACTTGATTGAATTAGTCATCAGGTTTATGTGTCCAAACAACACATTAGTGATAGATTGTGCTAATGCTTATTACGATAGGCCAGTCTCCTTAGTGTATTATGTTAATTGGCTATTTGATATTATAATATTTTAATATAACTGTATAAAAATTTATAATTTTATGTTGTTAAGCCTTGTCACTATAGTAATTATGATACAACAGTGGTATGAAGAATTATGGCACACTCATCTAAGGCATGTCCCAGTAAAATTTTGTTTCAACCCTAATATTCATAAGTTCAATAGACGTTTTGTATTGCGGTATTTAATCCAGTTTCTTAAGGCCTGAATAAAATGAAATAAGTTGCTGGTAGTTCAGTGGTAAGCATCAGAGCTCCCAATGCAATTTTCCTGCTAAATTATCCTGTTATAAATGGCTCTAGCTGATACTTGCGCGGAAATCAGTTTACCTGAGAATATTACACAAGTGTTACTGTGACGTAATGCTACTACTGAAGGTCATGCTCTTCCAGATAAGTCTTTAAATATTTACTCTCTAACACTTATTGACTCATATCTAACTAATACAATGTTTCATCTAAGACTTTTTATGTTGTAACCAAGCCGGCCTGAAGAGTCCTGGTATTGACGAAAAGCCTCATAAGTATCAACATTAACAAACAAGAACTAGTTGAAATGCTAGTATAGACTCTTCTTACTGAATATATTTATATAGAAGGATGTAATATACATTATTATTCGTCTTATTGTGGTGCAATATCACTCGTGTATTACGTAAAACATAAAGATAAAGAACAACGTTGTTTTTGTTTTGTATGGTAGGGTCGCGCGTGGCTTTAGTGGTGAGCGTGACGGATTGGGTATTTGAGATTCCGTGGTTCGCATAAAGAAACAAGAAAAAACGCTTTCCTAACAGATCAGTGCTCCTAATTTTGAGGTTGTTGGTGCGCTAAAATACTACTTTTCGATCAGACAATATTTGCCCAGGAGATGAGGATAGGTTTTTTTTACTAACTGTTTTCCTCTAGTCTACTAATTCAAATAGGTATAACTAGTTTAACTTTGCTCGAATACCCGAAAACAAACAATCTAATATTATACTGCTCTTTTTAACGCTGGTAAATTTACGTTTTATGATTACGGACATTTAACTTGATTGTTAACAAATGCCAATAATATACACGAGAGGACAT